TTGATTATAATGTACAATTGTGTGTGTTATTGCAACTGATTTTGAACATGATTTGTGCAACGATCTGCGAGTCATTACGACCAAATGTTAGGATATTCAATCAAACATGAAGGTCAATTATTCAAATAGTTGACTCAGCCCTAGCAGCTGTGCTGAGTACCCTACAGAGCCATCTTCCATTGTCTGGAGGCAGTCAACAGCTGGCACAGTAAAGATGCTGCGTACGCTGGTAGTGGGATTCATTTTAGGGAGTTTTCAAACAATGGGAGCCATTTTGTACATGTACCTGCAGTAGCAAATACATCACTGATGAGAAATGCACCTTGGGTGTACACAGATTCTTTGCTTTCAATGTTAGCATAGTAGACATCAATGTGACTTTTGTGGGACTTATCTCTATTTCAGGGAGGCTAAGATGGACGGGTTACAGATTGTCCGCAGACTCTCCACCTTCCATCAAGAAGAGGTCATAGGTCAAATGCACACGGTAGTTGTGGCTGTCCTGAATGAAGTCAAGAACCTGCGGTCCTCAGTCTCCAAGATGGCAATCATGACGATGGGGGATATGTTCCAGGAACTGCAGCAGGCACTGGATAAAGTAAGCCCCCCCCCCAAGAAAAATCCATCCGGGTGTTTTTTGTAACAAGAGACACATGTAACCACAGTGGTGCGCTTTGCTGAGGACTAGTGCAGTGTTAGCAAATATTTAAGACATTTAAAGAATGCAGACTTGGCATATTCGGTGCGCATTAAACTTTACAGCACATGTGCTGTAGTCATGTTAGTTCAGAAGATAATGATTAGACCATAATTGTACACACCTGTGTGACTGCCACAGCGATATTGCCTCTCAGCAATGGACTTTTCAATACAAACCCCCAAAATGCATATTTGCCGTTGTATCTTAGTTAATCTCATTTCAATTTTGGTTTGCTATCTGAAAGGGTATTTACTGCCTTTTGGACTTGTATGCTAATGAGTATTTTTATGTTCATGTGTAAAGCTGTGATGTCATCCTGGAGAGAAAACGTCCATGTTGCCTTGGTTTTTCAGAAAACAAATTGATTTTTGGATCTTGCCCAATGCTGGCCTGAATTTCCATTTCTTTGATGATTCATTGTTGTGTTAGTACATTGCAAAGTCTGGGTCTTGCAAGGGGCATGCTATATAAACATTTGCGTAATGTTGTATGTCACAGGTAATTATTGTTTTTATTTGGTATCTCAATGAAATTTTTTGTTTGTTTGCTGCTGTATTTTTAGGCGCTTATTTATTACTTTTTCTCGCTTATTTTTACTAATGTAAATTTGTCTGGAATTTGTTTAATTTGTATGTAATGCGCTCTTGAACTTGTTGATCCTGGAGGGAGCGCAATATAAGTCCAATAAATTATTATTATTATTATTATTGCAAAAAGCAAACAAGCAAACCTTTCTCAGATATGTTTTCAGTGAGTAAATTCTGGGTTCACAATTTGAACAGAACAGCCTCTCCACTGAGCCATGCCTTCCCAAGATGACATCACAGCAATAGTGCCCTCAGAAGTCCAGGAAAACAATGATAATTTCAAATACTTAAAAAAGTGCACCTTTCAATGCGTTGAACCTGATAGGCATATTAGATGGTTTTCGGACATTGAAGAAGGGTGTAAAGTTGCAGAAAATTGCATTGTTTCTAGATTTTAAATGTACTTGCACATCCACAAGGGTGTCCTTGATTTTAGAGTAAAATCAAATGAAAGCCCTGTGGCTGTGTATTAGTTTGTGCATTATATATCACAGGGGGGCTTAATGCACAAGGGGAGTCAGGTTGGCATAGCATTTCTCTCCTCGACTTCCACCTCTGGGGACCTGGGTTCGAATTCGGCTCGGTCCCCATGTGGATTAGGTTTTCAGTCCCTTCCTGAGTCTGTGTGTTTTTTCCGAAACATTTATCCGCGGTGTTCCTCCCACCTCTAAAACTGAACATTTCTTCATTTTATTACTCATTATCATCCTGTTATTGGCGCTAAATGCACTGTTGGATGATAAATAAATAAAATAAAGACCTATGAACTATTCAGCCAAGTGGGGTAAAAATGTACATATGCCTGCTTACTTGCTTGGCTGTGATTTCCAGAGTCTGTTCTATTTCAATTGCATCCGGTCCAGTGGCTCATATCAATACTTCCTATACTCGGAAACCAATGTCACTCAGTGATGGAGTCTTTTTTTATCCTGATGCAGGAGTTAGAGCAAATTTGCAAGATCCTGATGCCCAAGGCAGGTGAGAGCAACGCCTTCATCAGAGAAGACGTGGATAAGGCACTGGACTCAATGGTGCAGAATGTCAGTCCCCAGAGGGCGCTGTGCGCACTCATCAGTGCTGGTGTCAGGTACGTATCTGGCCCAGAAAGAAATCAGACAGGGTTAAGTAACATTACTTAGCTCTCACTTGACTCGGATGTTTTGATTCTCACCACAGATTATGTTTTGTTGGTTCTGGTACCCAAAGCTCAGTATTTCTAAAATCCAAAATGATGTATCCCAGAAATTATCAACGTTGACTTCCCAGTTTTGGCTGCTAATTTTTTTCCCACTCCAACATTACTTTAATGATATGCTTAATCTTCAGAGTTGTAGTTGATGCCCGAAGTAGTATAACTTGATAGTGTACTATTTTTGTAATTGCCCAGTTCTTAGCAAAATAGTTTCTCATGTCACCTGTAAATGCATGTTCGTATTTTTTGTGAGTATTTTTCACCAGATTTTATAGCTCTCATCTGAGTATTATGCTCTGCCTGAATATCCCAGAGAAAAAAGGTGGTACCTACCTCAGGATTCCTTATTCTGGTCATTTTGGGACTTCTCACTTGGAAGCCTAAATGTCTACTTGCCACCCTGCAAGAGGAAAGTCTTTAAGCCTGTGCATTGACCCGACGTTTTGCATTGTTACACAGTCACAAAAACCAAACAGTCCGCAAGACCACAGCTATGCACCTGAATACACTGGTGGACAGGATGGGGCCCGGGCGGCTGCTTAGTGGTGTCAAGGACATCACAGACAAGATCCTGCCAGCTGCTGCTAGCCTGGCCCTGGACAACGGCCAAGAAACGAGGTATGAAGGCAGAGACAAGTTTGCAGTGCTTGGATGAGTGCGTTGCCCTGAGTAATGAGTGTGCCAGTGATAAGGCTGGATGTGCCTGTTCTTGGCTCAGATACATTCTAAGTACAAGACTCAAGTCCTGGTCAGGTTTTTGTATGTATCGCGTTTACTGTGCATGGTTTAGTGAGCGCTGTGTCGTAGACGTACATGCATTTACCAGTGCAATAACACTTTAAAAGCCGACAAAGGAGACTTATCTAAGATCAACCAGTGCTGAAATAGAAATATAAGGGAAAGCTCACGCATCGCTAGTTGAATTTGAAATGTGTATTTGCAGTTGTATGAAATACAAATATTGCCCGCCTGAAAAGGTAGAGAAATTGAGCCCACAAGAGGATCTATTGTGTATTGTATGTGCATTTTCTGAAAGGCAAAGCCAAAAAAGTACACCATTTATTGTGTTGTTGTTTTACTCGTCCTCTTCATCCCATCTGGGACATCAGGCCACAATCATCCTCAACCATTGAACCATGTCCTGTGGGTTTGCCTGTGCTTTGCCCTGTGTGAGACCCAATTCCTTCATCCCTGTCTTCCATCAGGTGGCATTGTGCCTGCCTCTTTATCCTCCCTATAGGGGTCCATCTCATGGCAGCTTTTGGTATCCTTTCATTGGGTATCATCATAGCATGACCGAGTCATCGCAATCTGAGGATCTTAATCTCAAGGGATATTATCCTACTGGCTATCTTCCAATACAGTTCCTTGTTAGAGATCTTGTCAAGTTGTCACGTCAGTCCATACTACAGATCTTTAATAGACAGATACTGTCATAGACATCAACCTCTCTTGTAGCAGGCATCCCTGTGTGCTGCTGCCCTTGTACTGGAGGGGCTTGCATGCCTCAAAGAGTCTTTGAGCTATCCACCTTGAGTAGAAGCATCCCCTCATCTGTCGAAAACAGCCATATTGGCGGGGAATATTCGTTTTGTTGGTAGCGATATGACCGTAAAGCGTACATTTCCTTGTCGTTTGTGAGCCATCAAAGTTTTTGAACCAGTGAAATTCCACTCTGACCAAAGGAGCCTCCGTTGCTAAGAAAAGTGCACCCTCTCTTGGTTCAGCGCAAGGTTCATACCAAAAGGGATCTGTGCGTCTGGTACATGTAGGTGTAACCAAGCCTGGTAGGTGATGAAGGAAAGGTCAAACAAAAAGCAGTACCCGGTCCTCCAGGTTGGGGGTTTGGTGTAGTGCCAAGAACCCCACCCCAGAAATCGAACACCCTGTAACTGAAACTGCAACTACATTGTGTTTATATTTTAGTTTTATCTGCTTCCTTGTTTTATTTTTCGTATGCGTTATTTTGAGTCCTGCATTAAAATGGGATCATGCAGCAGTCGCTGTTGCTCTCCACATCCGATTCTGATTAAATCCGTGAGCTGAGGGCGTCATAACTGCCATGTGGCCTGCTCATTTGTGATCGCAGGTTTTACGCCCGCAAGATGCTGTACTCCATGATACATCACGAGTCTTTCAACAAACTGATAGAGAAGTATGTGCCAGCGAAGGACCTGAGATCCCTGAAAGAAGTGCTGGAAAACCTCAGGCTGAAGGTAATATCATGCAGCAGGTCAAAGAAATTCTGTAAAGGGATAGCACTGTTAGAAGAAATCATCTTTTCAAACTAACAGCAATAGCAGAAGTTGTTACAACCACACTTAAATTGTCATTATTTGAGTTTTTGAAAAGTCCAGGTATGACACTCCTTATGTGATTGTTACACGTATTATTAAATGTGACACGGCATTCTAAAACTAGGCTAAAGGCTTCTTAGCCATATAGAAAATGACACCAGTATACACAAGAACAATGCAAATTCCACTTTTTTATTTTGGCATAACTACCAAAGCATTCGTACTTCAGAGTGATCCAGGGTGGAAAAGTTTGCACCGTGGATCACTTTGAAGTGTGAAATTTACGGCGGGGGAGACGAATTGTCAAACAGCAAAATGACCTACCTGGTTTTGGAATGATGGGTCACAACTGTTACAGTTAATCAGCAACGTAATCAGTATGGGATATTAGAAAAGATGCCTGTCCCATCATGAAAAGTAAGACCACAGTTTCCTACTCATGAATTTTCATATAATGCATAAATTTAATTTCCATATTCAAAGATATATTATATACGTATATACAGGGACAGATAGTTTTGCATCTCATGAAAAATTAATTTGAAATGCAAATATAGCTATTTTGTCCCCTTGCATTCATGTAATTAAGAGATTAATTACATTCTGCCGTAAATAATCCCTTTCATATGCCTGGCTCTTGATGCAAAGGTAATCTCTTCAGAAATACAAAATTTTATAAAAGGTCGCCCACTTCCAGGAATGGGTTGAAGCTCACAGTTGAAGTGTTATCAAGGTTACATCTTGAAACCTTGAGAGCTTTGTGGTCACCAGACATGTATGGCGTTGTGTCTAACATATTCTGCCAAGGTAGATTTTTGGGGAGGGGGATCTTTAACGAGTTGGATGGGTGTGAGATTGGTTAGGGAATGTCCTGTTCTTTATTGCTTGGTTCATATCTTATTGCTGTTACCAGGGTCCAGGCGATTTACCCCATGACAGCTCCTCAGCCCGCGTCCGACGGAGTCATTCCAACACACGCAATAATTCTGGCTCCAGCCCAGCCTCCCGGGACAAGATAGACTCTGCTGGCAGGTATGTACCAAACACGAGTGTAACCCACTGTGGGCTTCATTAGTACCCATCTAGTAGTCCCAACTCACTGTATAAGTCATCCATTTGTTACCTGGTTAGGCTGTATCCAAGTTTATTGCCTAGAGCCAGGTCCACTGTTAGTTCATCACCCACTGTAAATGCAGGGATGCAGTGACAGTAGATATAGCATCCCGCAGTGCCAACCTTACATACCTTGTGTGGACTCGTGAAGAAAAGAGGTCCACGTAATGGAGGTTTTGCAGACCTTGTGTGAGCTAAACCATGTCCACACAAGGTTAGCACCTTTCTCGTAAACAGTTTAAGAAGCGTTTTGAGTTATTGTCATTTGTACCAAAAGGAAGAGGAATAATCAAAAATGAGTATCTTCACTGAGTTTTCTTAACTACGGGAAATAAGGGAATGTCTGCACTTGGGAGGTAACATTAATATGTGTGTATTTGCTTTTGTTACTTTACGTTCTTGCAGGTTCACATAAGCTTGACTTAAGCGTAATTTCATATCATTTCATGCGAATGGTTAATGTTTAGATTTGGCATTCATATGATGGCTGGATGACATTTACATTCAGGTGTATTGTTGCAACAGATTTTTTGGTGCACCTAGGTCTAGAGCCAATGTTTTTCTGCAATCGCGGAAAGATTAACGGAATTTGCAGAATCAACACTTTGGAACGGAATCCATTGCTTGAAATGGAACTTGCAAAATTTCCCAGTAAGCGTGGCTTAAAAAGTGAAGACAACTTTTCGCACATTACTAAAAATACAGGCCTACCTGACCCTGATAAAATGATTGCTTTTAATAACAGAGTTATGCTGGAAACATACAAACTAGCACCACCATTGGGTTGGCTGGTGCCGAAGTGAGCCCAGGCGCTGGCACAGCATGGCGATGTACACACTAGCCGCTCACACGTGCACTGCACTAGCAACAAAATCAAGGCACAAACAGGTTCATACTCACACATATGCTTATTGAACACATGGGGGAACTTGTCTGTGTGTCCGCATAAACACCCTGAGACAAGGTATATACAGCATGGTGAAACGACCAAACTGTTTCAGCAAAACGGAAGACAAATTGCATTTTTCTTGAATTACATGAAACCTAGTGAGCTTGATGTACCTTAGCTGAAATAGCCCCTTGAAAGTTTCGATGAAGAGCAAAGGTTTCACTCACAAACATGCATTTTAAGGCCCAGGTTTGATGTTAACTTTCCAAATTTGTCGCACCTCTGCAAAATAAAAATGGTGGCTTGATGTCCAACATAAAATATTTTGATCAACAGTTGTTGCATGGAGTACTTACTTCATAACTGCACTGTACATTGTATTTAATTAATCTGATTTTGCACGAGGATTGACACATGAATAGTACATTGATGAATCTTTTTGTAAGTTTTTGACGATTGCACTTATGAGAAACCGAGGGATGTCGTACTGTTAAGTAGATTTCAAAAAAATTTTGGAAAAAATGGAAAATTATTGGCCCCAAAGGTACCATATTTATAATGGTTGTACAATTATACATTCACTTCATTTGGGTCTTACTCCTGAACAGCATTTAGTTTTGTCTTTGTTTTAGTTTAAATCGGTTTGATTCGTTTCCCCACAGTGATCATGCCTTGTCCAGCTCCATGCGGCGGACCAACAGGAACTCATCCCGTGGCTCTGAGACCAATCAGGAGACTGTCAAAGACCTATGCAAATTACTTTCCGCAGCCGATTGGACAGAGAGACTCCAGGGAATTACTCAAGTGCAAGAGTTGGCCGAGACCAATGTTGAACTCATCACCGCAAATATTATTAAGGTTTGTGACACCAAAGTACATGATTCTCTTCGGCTACAATGTGATGCATGTGTACAAATGACAGAATTTCATGCCTGTGTTGTGGTGTCAATGGACACAGCTGTTTCACCTAGTTCTTGAATGGGTTCTAATTCCACCCACTCTATGTCCCTACAGATCTTTGACAACTTCACCTCGCGGCTGACCGACTCCAATAGTAAAGTCAATCAAGTGGCACTTCAAACCATGCTGAGTATGGTACCCAGACTTGGGGAATACCTGGGTGCTGTGGTAACAGGGGTGGTGCCTGTGGTGTCAGGTAACCTTGCTTCTAAGAATGCAGTTATATGCAAAACAAGTGAAGATATCCTGGACAGCATTATAGAGCATGTTGGTATGTACAGTTGAAAAGTAATGCCCGGTTTATAAGAAGCATATTCACTTTTAGGTTTTGTTAAATCTGTCATTTACCTTTGTTCACTTCTATCATTTCCAGTTTTGTGTTGATCAAGGTGCTCGTAGATGTACTTTGTAGATTTATTAGCGATTTTCTCTTTTTTTTGCTGTATAAACAGGGGAGAAACATAATTCCTTCTTTTTTGAAAGTCTTTGCAGTAGCATTTTGATAGAAGAGAACATCTCTGTTGCTAACAGAAACACATTGGGTAAAGCACTCCACTGCTTTGTGCAGAAAAAACTTCCCATTCGGTATACTGTGTAATAAAGTTCTTGATTGTGTGAAGCACCCCCACCTTTGTATGGGGATCAACATATAAATTCTACATCATAGGAAAAACAAGACCCTAGTCAGTTCAGTTTTGATGTTGTCATTCCAGGCCTTTTAAATGACAAGATTGGTTCATTTCCACAATGGTCACTTTTCCATGTTCGTTTTGTAAATTGTAATGTCATTGTGCCTGTTTCTTCTTTGTTTGTTACCACAGACAAGATTGTCTTGATACAGCCCTTTTCCTCGGCCACACAATATGGCAATGCTCGAGTTAAGCCAAAGATGGTGGAAAAGCTGGCATGTAAGTTTACACGCTTAATTCAAGTTGTTCAACACTTTTTAAGTTTATGGTCGACACGCTGCCCCAATTTAGTGCGCCTAGTACGTAATTTAGGGATATTTAATTGATTGAGGCATTCCCTGCACCACACAAAACCATCATTTTGACTTCCTAGCACCTGTTTACAATAAGCAATTTCAAATTTTCAACCAAGATAAACAAACATTTGGGATAAATGAAAGATTTCCGTGCAAAGTGCAGTTAGCAAATGAGTGTTTATTGACTATTTATTCAAAAATGCACTGCCAAAAAGCCACCCCATAACAACTTCTTGGTGCTGCACTGCATTGTGAATCGCCTGTTTCATCTTGACTTTTGGAAGTTACCAAGGTTTCTGGACACGTGCCTCCCCCCACCCCCAAGTCCATTCTGACATACTCTCAAAATGAGCTTCCATTAATCCTACAATTTCTCCCTCCCCACATATTTATAGACCTGTCAACGCAGGTATATCCACGCAAGCAACAGACAGTGGTCCGCAATGTTCTGCCAGTGCTCTGGCATCTCCTGGGCAGCTTGACAGGCAGCGGGGCAGTGCCGGGGGGAACGGGCAACCTCAGGGGTGCCGTCAACAAACTTGCTAAGGAGTTACACAGTGTCATGGGGGAAGCACTTGTGCAGCATGCCAGCAGCCTACCACCTAGACAGCGCAACACCTTGATGGAAATCCTGGGTGTATAACAGCACATCCTCCAAGCATACACGTGTACATAAGTGGACAAACAAAGAAACAAATATATTTATATATTACAGAAACTATACACACTATGAATTTTGAAATTTTCTTGAAATATTGAGTGTTGATGTGATGAGAAGTTTGTGTGTTCCTTAGTTATTTGATCGAATGAGTTGTTGCAGTCATCTCGGTGATCAGCTGGTTTTCCCACTACCTCCAAAATAAAAACTTACATGTGTTTCAGATGTATGCCTTTCTCTCTTGGTGCATTCATTTTGAGCTGTGATATAAAAGGAAACAAGCTATCGCCAAAGTTTTTTTCATTTGGTTCACAAATGACTTGCAATTCACGGATGTATTTAGAGTGTTAAAAGAATGGACCTCTTTTATTCCTGGAACTGGGTTCAAGAATGAAGTATCCATTAATCAGTGTTAATTCCTCAAGACACTTTTCTGTGTATTCATTTCCATTTTCCCCATAATATTCTAGTGTTGGTGGTAGGAAGGTTGTTTTTCGGTAAGAAAATTGACTTCCCCTTACGCTGTGTTTGCCTTTTTGTTGTATCACTCAGTAACCAAATGTGTGTCAGGTGCCTGGCACTTCAAAAATACATGGATATAGACACCACAGTGCCTACAAGTCAAGAAGCACATAGAACAGTTAACCCTCCTATGCTGAAGTCACTCTTTGGGTCACTTGGTAAACACCTCAAAGAAGCACAGCTGTGTTGTGTTGTGCACTGCACCAACAGTCCCTCACAGGAATATCAGATTGCACTTTTGTGCTGCCCAACAACTGTGCTTCACTGTTTCATGTGTGAAATTGTGCAGTAAACCAAATGCAGTGAAGAGGACTGCACAAAAGACCCTGTGTCATTTTGTGCTGCCAACCAACTGTGTACACACTGTGCATGTTTGTGTTCCATGTAGAAAATACATGCACAAGAGTGACTGTGGGCACTCATGCATATTTATGCTGTAAAACCAAAGGAGGGTTAGTAAAGTCGATTGTCTGTGTGAAGCTCAATTACCTTCAGTCGTCTACGGTTGAAAGCTACCGGTATTTAGAATGAAGACAGTACAGATACAAGACATCCTGTGCATTGATTTCCATTTGGCATGATGTCGTGTGGTAGAAAGCAAGTATTGTAGGCAATAAACAAACCAGTATGTTACTTGTGGGAAAATGTGGCCCAGTGATAGGGGTTTGTAACACCTATTCATAGGGTCTGGGGTTCGAACTCAGGGATGGGCATACGCCCTGACCCTTTGGCAAGTCACCTGACCCCTCTGATATTATCCACCCAGGAGTATCAATGCTGTGAGGACAGAGAGGGTTATTGTATGGTTGACTAACCATTTTGTGCCAAGTATTGAGCTTTATATCTCTAGGAACCTAAGATAGTTTCGGGAATGGTTACCAGCCCATGGGTTTGCCAATTAAGTACATCATACAAGTCCCTACCACCATTAATACAGGGTTGCCAGATCTGCATGCAGTTCATTTATTTCAGGTTGTTCTCACACTCTCACGCCCAGGTGGGATTTCTCATGCCAAAATATAAATGAAACAAAAACTGGAACAATATTTGTCAAAAGGTAATTTGCTCAAGCCATATCCTATTCTGACAGTGGAATGAAAACTCCACAACCTGTGAGGTTATTTCTGATCTGATCAGCTTTCATCACAGTTGGCAGTTATACTTCATACACGTTTGTTATAGTAGGACCAATCTATCTGCAACAGCTTCACAGAGCTACAGCTACGTCTATTGGGGCGTTCCCATGCTCAACACTGAAACCTGTTGCTTAGACAGGTTACCTTCAAAGCTGGATGGCATTTTCTCAAAAGAATTTTTTAAATTAAAAATATGTGATTCTATTATACCACCTTGCTCCATGTACATGTATTATTTATTTTTCGAATTATTTTTTGTCTTCAATGAATTTAAAAATAGGTGTAAATACATAAAGCTATATACTTGTATATTGGCACGAGACAGAACAAATTCTAAGAGTGTGTAAACTTCCGTCCGTTCAACTTCTGTGTAGTTCCGTGTCACACAGTTTGAAGTTATCTAACAGCACTTTGTGATTTTGGAAAGAGTTTATCTCCCGTTTATTGGGTAAGCAGTTTGTATGGTGTGCTTCATGGAAGACGCAGCTGTGTGCCGTCTAAGAACTAGAGTATTACTCTAAGTGAGGTACTCGTCAAGAGTTTGAAATGGGCTGAAAAGGCCAATTTAGTGCCTGGAAGCCTTCCAGTTCGAGTGTTGTAAAAACGAGTAATTGTAGAGGTTTGATGTCAGCGTTTACAATTTTAAGAAGGAATGCCCGTGAAAGACATTTTATGATCTCCCATACATTTTTCAGGATGCATCTTCTAATGACTGGCATTTTGTAATTATGAGAAACACCTTGATCTATTCAGTAAGAGGCTTGATTTTTTTAATGAAGCAATGCAAACAGATTGTTTTGGTGAACAATCCTGTTTCATCTAATAACGAGACGTACAGTTTAGCTTAGAACTGAAATTGATGTCAGCTTTCAGAGTTAGTATTACGTTCCTTGAAACTTTCTTCAAAATCTTTTAATTCATATAAAAGATGCACAGAGTACTTAAATGACTTTTTTAAACCAAGAGATGCTTGTCTTTAGAACCACTGTAAGTCAGTGGTTCATTGTTATTGTGTTTTTCTTCCTCCATGAATGAGTAACACCTTGGCAACAAGTCAGCATTTATTTGGTTTGAAATCATTTCTCTCCGTTCAAAGTGGCAAAAAAAATTTTTTTAATTAAAAATAAAGATATTGTTCACAACACTTTTTTTCTCAATAGTTCACGATATTAGTATATTCATCTTTTGTTTATTGCTGTCTTCGTTTATGTACTCCACACCGTCAGGACGAAACCTATGAAGGGTCCGTATTTACTTATAGCGATGGAAGTATATGTACCCTGCTTTGGGATGCATGCGAAGGTTTTGACTGCGGCTAGCGGTGACACTTGGGCCTATAAAAACTACTGGCTGGTTGCCGTGGCCACTTCCGGCAGGCACGTGTGTTAAACTGCCCGTTGCAGCCAAGACACTGCTGACACCGCCTTTGGCTAATTTTTCTGTTGCAGTTACTAGTAAGAAGACAACCCTGAAAATGCAAGCAGTACATTTGTGTTGTGTGGATTGAATTTCCCAGTGGTAACGAACAGGTAAATAAAAACCAACTTATTTTTCAGATTTTCAGCCATGGGACCCAGACATAGTAGAGTGATCGATTTTTAGAATAAACGTAAGTATCTTAGCTGGACAGCAGTTGCAGTGAATATAATGCGTAATTATGTACGGTACATGATATTCATGTATTAAACTCATGGTTGCCAAATGTATGCAAATGGCGCTTTGTTAACAGTATTGAGCTGCGTATTAGACGCGTCATTCGAGCAAAAGCTGGCTTAGTTCTGATTAGGTGGCGATTAAAAGTACATTTAGATACTTGTTGAAATAATCATATATCACCTGGCATTGTTGAGAGATTATGATTAATAGTCTTCAAACATGGATTCCTGGTTTAAGTGGCTTGTCAGAGTTGCTGTTGCTTGACAGAAGAGAATTTGTTCCTGCCATTGTAACCAAAATGCAAGAAATATTGCTTCATTTTCCCCAGGTAAAAGCTCTTCTGGCGCTTTTTGGGTTGACGTTTTAAAAAATCAGTCATAAATACCTCGGACAGTTTCCCTATTCCACACATACAACTTAACATTAATAGTTTAGCCTAATCGATTCTGATTGTTCAAGAGTCTGTATGCACGCGGCTCGCAACGCGCGCGAGAAATCCATATAAGGAGATTCTTTTGAGCAACCTGCACAGGGATTATACCATTAAATGGACGGGGTGTTCGGGAAAATGAAAGTAAAATTATAGAACAAAGTCGTTGGAAATTCATCATATATTAACGTCTTTTGACTCTGACTAAAAAAAAGTATTTAAAACTAGGAATAAACATCGGCTTGGCCGGTCTGAAACTAACATGTAAGACTCAGGAGAATGCACGGTGATAGTGCCCAAGGCACAGGCGGAGCCATTAGTCGCATCTATTCTCCTGAGTTGGTCTTAAACGGCCAAGCACTTATACCCTTATTCTTACCTTACGCGGGAGGTGGGATCAACTAGTTGTGTTCCCACAGTACTGTTGTCTACAGAGCAAGATCAGCAGTATGCAATGTTTTTACTGAGTTGTTTCGTGTGTAAATATTCATGAGCGCTGTGTTACAGAATGTCCAGTAGCAGCTTAAGGACTGTTTAATGTATAGTGTAATCTTTGTACATAAATTGCATCATGTTTGAATGTGAACCAAATATTAAATCAGAGTACCAGTTACAGTACTACATTAAAAAAAAAAGGTTGCTGAAATGTAGGTGAATGTTCTATGCGGATTTGTTTGTGTGGCTTGCAGTCAGCTGTGCGAGCTCACATGAAATTGGGTGTTTATCCTCGGAACGAGGGCTGTATCCCTCCGAGTTGAAAACGAAAGCGAAGTTTAGTGCAAATTGTTCATTTTTTGTGGTTTGGTGTAGTATTTTGAAGCATCAGAAGAGTAGCTGTGCAGATTACGCAGTGGGGAAAATTGACCATGCTTCGATGAGTATTGTGATCCTGAGCAAGAGCCCTTTTCAGTTTTTTATCATTTATTTTTTTTAGGTTGGTTTCAGCACTGCATGCAACTGTAACATTGTCTGACATTTTTTTCTCTGGAAAAAGCTTAAGGGGTTGGGTCTGTTTTATAAATTGTAGATTTTCAAATTATGGGGAGAGGGAACGACGGCCCAAACTCCGTAAATCATCACCATTTTCAAGAAAACACTTTGGCCCCAAATCATGATTTTTTTCAAATTCTGGGGTTTTGGGGGGCAAAATTCAATAGGCTATGCGATGACTTCAGCTTTGTGTAATTGTGTTTCCCAAATTTAGTGAAATGAGCGATATCACAATGATCTACCTGGGGCAAATTTCTACTTAACAGCTACTGAGTTTTCACGAAGAGCCGAGTTTGTCTTCCATAGAGATAGTGTTAACAATAAAGGGTGAATTCATGGGCAAACTTGTTTCGCCGTTTCACAAAGAGACGAATTTGACTGTAGAAATGCAATATGCATACAAATGTAATAATTTTGTAATTTTTAATTACTTACCCACCGACATAATTAGTCTGTTCAATCACCGCATAGGCACGCGTTTGTAATGGAGATCAAATCGGAGCGCGTCACTGGCCGATTCCACCTCGCTTAGCACCCTTTTTCCATAATAAGGAAACAAAGTCTACATTTTCGAAACAACTTACCTAAATAAGTTGGAGCTGATGTCCACTTTCGTATCAGAAAGAAAAGAGGGAAGGGCTTTGGTTTTTGATGGAAATTATGGGGTAAAACGGCAGCGTAAAACGACGCCGACGAAGAGCTGTGAACGAAGACGAATCCGCGCGTGTAGTCTGGTTCCTTGACCTGGAACCATAAGAGTTTCCTTTATGAGATTCAGTATATGGGTGCCCTGCCCAATTCAAGGGGAATTCTTCGGCAGGCCGAGGTGCTCAAAAAGTACCCTTGCAGTTTATTTGAAAAAGAGGAGATTTTGTGGCCCAAGAAATTGTGGGATTGTGGAAGAATGGCCCAGAATGAACTCCTAAGATTCAAGGGCTCCCATCCCATGGCGAAGCATAGAAAAATGCTACTGAAAAATTGTCCCAAGAGCCTGAAAAGGTGAAGGGTTGTCATTCGAAAAATGGCCACTGACAGACTTGGAAACGTTCACTTTTTGGGAGGTGAGTTTTCATTGGTTAACCTACTAAAAATTGAAAATGAATTGAGAGCTGAATGACCCCTGAACACTTTGTTTTTTGTTTGAGAGGCCTGAGGGACTTCGGTTGCCCGCACCGGGACTGCAACGGTGGTTGATTTTACATTGTCTTCAACGGGGCTTCAATTAGTTCAGTGCACCCGTATCCACACTGGTTGAGTCAGGTTACCAGGCGTGAACAAAAAAAAATTGCATGATGCGGTCGTCTTTCGCCGAACTCGGGTAAAAAAAATCCCTTTTTTGGAATAAATATTGTCAAAACTTACCAAAACTAGAGCAACTAAGATTAAGGAAAGGATCATCAAGGTCTGAAATGTCAGTTAGTTTGAAAAAGTGGACTTTGTTTTCCATTCTATAGGAACAGGGTGCTAATGGTAATGAACACCAAATCTACGACAACAGTTATTGACTAAGCAGTAAGGCTCCTGAAAAACACATGTACTGTCAAGATGGATTTGGAAAGGTTTCTCAGTCGGAGCCAGCAGAATTGAACATTTAATTGAACATTTCGGGAAAATAGTGGGAATTACTGTTGCCAACGTGTACGTCAGCTTGACTACCTCCCGACGCGAAGCCCCTCAAACCATGCTGTATTTGTATACTACCATTTGTCTTTCTTTTGCTGCTTGGAGTGCAAGTCTTCGACTGGGGGAGGAAAGCAAAATGGCACGCGTTTTCACGAACAGACGAAAGTGGCATGAATTTTAGCACTTTCAGGAAGAGGTGCGTTTGTTTGTTAACAAAAATAAACAATTTTAGTTGACCTCTATTAATATAATTAATACTATTTGGCAGTTTTGTGCCATTTTAAGATCCCCTCTCAATGCAGTAGCTTTTAAGGTCAAAGGCATGCTAAATGCTGGGGAAACCGTTTGAAAAAGAGACCAACTTCACATGCGATTTTTTCGAAAGCTAGATTTTGCTCTGCGGTGAGAAATTCGCCTCTTTGTGAAAACGCCCGTTTTTTGCGGCGACAGATATTTCAAAAACGTGAACCTTATTTCATCTCTAAAGGTGTTGACACCGACTTTTCCCGTATAGCTTTTCTCAGTATACCCCTTTTTCCCTGCTCACAACGTATGTCTATAAGCAGTTTGTAATTCTAGCTTCTTTCGAGAATATATCTCTAGAAAATAATTTACGGATCCATGGGCTTTCCATTCGAGTACGACAGTTTTCTATTTTTTTAATGTATCACTAAGGCACATTCAAATGTAAACCGAAAACTCGTCAACGCTATCACCATATACGGTGAAACGTTTTACAAAGCATTTTACAAAAGGGCATATAAATATATTGCTCCCCGATCATCGCCAAACTCCCCTCCACTTAACCCGAGGATAACATGCCAGGCATGCCTACCACGGCTGCGTTGGATGAACAGTGCATTGCATTGCGTTGCATCCCATAAGGGTCTTGAGAAATGTTGGCCGCTTTGGACCTTTTGGGTGCTTCCTGGTGTATCCAGTAATTTAGAATGTAAAAACAAAATGCCCTACAACATGCAGTGAGTAAAATTAAAGGGAGGAATGCCCTTGGCACGTTGCTCTTCCCCAGTCAGCCATCTATTCACTCTACAAAGTGCGCAAGATGGGCCGCTAGCATACTCCTCATAAGGCGCCCTCATTTGATAGCCTTCCTGCGATATCCGGCATCAACTTCAAATGTCGAGGTCGGGCGGCCTGTTCTCAACACAGGTTTCTTGTTCTTGCGCTCGATCGGTGGGAACATGACTCAAGAACACTGTTCTCGGAACAGGATCACACACCACCTCTTCGTCAGAGTTTTACAAGAACACACGGAAAACTCGTGAGATTTTGATTTTTGAAAAGCTGCAACATGGCAAAACGTAGAGTGATGGCTTACAAAGCCAGAGACTATAGGAAATTTTGCAAAAGTAACATTAATTATTCTTCATAACACAGAAATGAATGTTCCTGTTTAAACAGAAAAGAATTAATCCCAATTATCCAAATATTAACTCTCGAATAACGTACATGGACGTCGCCATGTTGCATGTTGCTTGTGACTAACTTCCAGCAATAACCGGTTGTATGTTCCCGGCGTTCGAGCGGCTGATCCAAGAACAACAATCAAGCTGTTCGTGAACATACGAGAAGAAGCCGCTGGAACTCAGCCAAAGATTGTACAACGAACAATCATTAACTACGACTTGAGGGGTAAGACCCTCGTCGGTGATATTAATAATGTAGTAATTGATAATTGCATATGAACGACATGATCTTGCATAAAGATTGTATAGAATTTCCACCTATCAAAGTAGTCAGACTAGTAAACTCGTTCATTATAATGGAGGTATGAACAATGTAAAAACAAGTCCGGAAATTTGATTGGCTGCTACCTTTTGGTAGATGAACTAACTTGCTGTATGCAAAACAGTTTGCAGATTCATCAAGTCTGGATTTCTGAACTCCAGCTTTACACAAGAGGGCGCGAACGACGTGCGGCCTCCATACCCAAAGCGTAAACGCAGACGCCACGGAGGATCCCAACTGCAGTCAAGTGGCACCTTTTCCATCAAACCATTGGGAAGGAAACTTCCCCACCGGATCACTACCCATTCAAAGTCAAACACATTGCGAAATCAAAATTAACACTAAACTGTGATTACGTAATGCTGTTTTGTCTTAAAAGTTAGAATGAGTTTTTCCTAACCGGAAATCAGGTGCAATCGAATGTATTCATTGCTTCAGTTGTAAAGGTCTACTAAAAGCTGTTCCATGTATGTCGCAAACGCGAGCACGAACGCAAAATTGTGACGTCAGATCAAATGTAGGCCTATTCGCACTGCGAATTTGCAAACGTTGAACACGTTTAAGCTCAAGCGACATTCGCTGCAAATTTGTTCAAGGACGTCAAATTCGCCTAAAGTACGAAAATGACTGTGAATTAGTCACATAACTGACTCGTTATGCCCCACCGTCGGGACGAAGCGACGTTCAATGGATAGGGGTGAAACGACATGGTACTTCCACCACTCAAACAGATTGGGCTGACATCTCCCCGGCACTGATCTACGCACAGGGTTCCGATTCCATGACCATGTCCACATGCCCACAGCTTGACCTACTACAAAAGAAATACGTGAGAACCAATCAACAGATAGTCACCTTTCATTTTCGTGAGCAGACTGTATCTCCGGAAGATAAAAACGTTGGAAAGCGCAATGCTGTCTGCACTAGTGTTAATGACCCGGCGGTATGTGCTTGTAACTCACCCTCTTCGAGATACCCCAGTTAATAGAAATACCATTTTATCAAATTCATTGCCGGGAATATTCACAGCGTCACGGTGAAAGGGTCCATGAAACGACTCCGGCGAAACTTGCGCAATGCGCACGTTTTAGGCTACGGCCGTCCGATTGGCTAAGGCATCTTTTAACAGGATTATTTTATATTGTTTCAATCATGCCATTCCTGTGACCAGCGAGACAATGAATCCCGATCAGTTCCTTGTATGCAGCGTCTTTCAAGTCTGTGTATTTGTTGAACATAAAGTATGTATTTTCTATGTGGTTAAAAATATCAGCAAAAATGTATTTTTATTTAAGTAGGAGCATGAGCGGCAGATTTTAGAAGTCCTTAAATGTCCCAGCTACCCCCAGTTAACCATGTGCTTTCTCCTTCATGTGTAGGCCTACAGCAACAATTAAAATCCCAATAAACCAAATACAATTGATTGAGCATTTCAATGGGCGCTGTTTATGCAAAGTTATTGAGAAAAAGACAAAGTCACTCAACAGTAGTATACAGTTACTGTTAGATTTTTTTTGGAACTATGTATCTCACCATTTTGGAATTGCCATATGTAAACGTATGGTAACCACGTATTTCAACATTTTGGAACTGCCGTATGTAAACGTAAATTCTGACAGTTACAAATGGCAGCCGTATATAGGGCATCAAGTACTTTTGCCAAGTTACTCATTACAGACTTTTGGCGGCAAGTGTTGATGGTCTTCCCTTAATTTCAAGTCCTTACGGCTCTCAGATGCTGGCTTTGGTCTCCTTTTTGTGGAATGTATTACGTGAAAAGATTCATGTAGTGTAATTCAGCGTGGGAAATTCTTGTTTGCCTTGACATATGCTGTGCAGGAACTGATGCTATCTGTTTACATACATGCACAAGTAATGGTTGACAAAATGTTTTACAATATCGTTAATACGATAATCATTAACTGTGATTACTTTATAGCGTTTTTCCTGGATAGGACCTCCACCAAAGCAAAATCCCCTCAAATTAAAGTCGAGAACAGAACTCCCTTTAACGGCCCAATCGTAAAGACTGAATGGTAGGTTTGGGAAGTGTGCCATTTTTTTTTACCCAGCATATTCTTTTAGCATTTGTTTTTTTCGGCTTTGAATGTGGCTAGTTCTGTCGCATTTAAAACAAAAGATTACTTTATTCCTGAAGCCCAATCAGCTGTGTCTGTGTGTTGCTTTGGCTCGTGCTAGCCTGGCTCCTCTCCGTACGACCGAGTCGAGCTGCGATTGGTTAAATAAACTACCCAAAGAAATGAACCTCAGTGACAAGTCTTTGAAATACTTGTCCGCATATCACTGTTCCATTAATGCCAACAAAAGCTTTAATTTCAGTGTCATGAAATGAAAATAAAAATGTGAGGTTTTAATAATGATATCAGAATGAATTTCCATTGAAAACGTTTACGTCGTTTGTTCACCACTAAAACAAACGTATTACTCCTTTGAACCTTTGCCAGGAGATCAGGTTGAAGAGACTATTTTGTAAACTGATTGGCCTCACTTGCAAACATCTCCCAAGTGCACAAACAAGTTAGCATTGTTAGCTTTTTTCACAAATAAGTCAAGCCCATCGGAACGGCAAAGTATCTGACACGTGGAAGTCATTACGTTACATCCCCGGAGTACAATTGTGTTTCATTCAACACCTTGATCAGTCAGCTGATTGCTGGATTGTCGATCGTGAGTCATTGAATTAATTGTTCAATCATATAGGACGATAGAAATGAAGTGAATCGTTTTATTAATGGGCCTCCAGCTGGACTAAGAGAGGGAGGCTTATTTGGTAGTAAATGCGCATCGCATCGCTACCAATAAAATGAACACTCCCGACCAACGCGGCTCTTTTAAACCGATGAGAGGGTGTTTCTGCCTCGTTACTCTGCATCTGAGCCCGAGAGGGCTCCCTTGGATTAAAAGTCCCTTTCAGACCACTCTTAAAAACAGGAAAGACCTCAGTAGTAAAAAACCTCAGGAAAAAATATGGTTCAAGCAAAGTACTACTACTAGAGGCAAACACACAGCTGAACGCTATACAGACATAAACTATAAATGCATAGACTGACGCAAAACAGGAGTTACCAAATTAATGGGTGGACGTTTCACTCATAAATTCATAATTACGCAAGCACGCACATATTAACTGGGCGTGGCGAAAAAAATGTGAGCAGCCTGTTGAAAATGAGTAGGGGTATAATTTCAATGGTCTTTTCCCCGGAATTTTGGTACCTCAACAACACTCTCTAAAATCGTCCTAGCTCGTACACCGGCTGATCTAAGGGGGATTTTTTTTATGTACGACATAAGGACCCCACACTACTTTCGCACAAGGTCGAAAGAGAACGGCAAGGCTCATCTCTGCATGAGCAAATTTGTACAGTTTCAGCTTTAGTCATGCTTATACCCATGAGAATGCGTGCATAAAATTGATAGTGATAAGATCTGGGCGGAAGACTGGTGTGTGTGTGATGTACGGACGACGGCCAATGTACCTTTTCTGCTCCTTTAATTAAAAGTATGTAAAATCGTGATAGAACAAATGCCGTTTAAAATTACAGTCTTTACATTTCGCGATATCTTCAAGATTTTAAAATGTTGTTCCGTCTCACGCACTAGCCCACTGTCTAAAGACCGATCTAGAAAAGAATTTCTATTTTCGCTTAGAAATCGTCCAAAGAATGCTACAGGCGAATCTGTGTGTTGAGTTACAACCTACAAAATGACAGAGAGAGTTGTTAAATTATAATCCAGATTTTTGCCAGCGGAAAATTGCGGTGTTTCTTTTTCGAAACTGCTATACGCAAAGTCTAAAACCCCGAAAATCTACTTCTGACGTTCCATAAAGAGAGCTGTATCAGACAGCATATAGATGAATTCGCTTTGAAACACCAAGCAAACGATATACTTGCCATGTTTGACCTGAAAGTGACCATAAGGTGACCTTTACCCAAATCTACTAACTGTCCACTTTGAGTGGTTGACAATTGGCTGCGGGGCTGTGATATATGCAGTAGAAACTGCTTCACGCATTTGTGTTGCATTGGTAAGATACATGTGTGAACATCAGGTCTTACATTCACCCACCTCTGGTTGAACAAGGACACCCTTCACTTCATACAGTGATTCGTTTCTGCGCATTAATCGAATTTGCAACGTTTTATCGGTATCAAAACCTGTATGTATGGTTGTTATTTCCCACAGCCTTTGAAAATATATTGATAACAGTTGATAAGAAAGCGGACAACAAAACAATGATAAAACAATAAACGATGGACTTGAGTTCCGGATCCCGTCCCGCCTCAGCTTGATCATAATATGATACAATGACAGGTCATCTATTAAGGAGGTCCGCTTAAAGATGCCAAGGCAAAGGAAGACAGGCAGATATTTGAGTCAAAAAGTAACTGTCTCAATTACACAGTTTTATTTCACATTAACGTTCGGGATTCAAATGTCCAGGTTTTATTACAATTAAATAGGATTCAAATCCTTATTCCTATATTCCTGTGTTATTCCTACATTCTTACACTCTTGTATTCCCTCAATTCCTATATCAGTATTTTTATTTGAATTTATTTACTCTATTCACAACTTGATGTGGAGTGGCAGGTCTTTGGCCACACTGATTATTATCGCTTTGTCTCTCCAATGCCCATCTTGTTATTATTATTATTTATTTGACCATCACGAGAACAAACAAAGCAAAGTTGAACAAAAAGTACATGTACATGTATATTAAAACAACCAAAACACACATACAAGTAAATGTAAGCGGTAGCAGGGACCAGGGACAAAAATCCGAATACATAACAAGACAAATAACAGTTATGTGGGTCAGGGACTGCAAAAGTAAAATAAACTACTATTACCCGCGGGTTATGCAGCCTCGCACATAACATTACCAAGAACAAATTGTACAGAACAAAGAAAGCAACGGTCCCCACGTAGGTGATCAAAATGACAGCCAGAAAAAAAGAAGAAGAATAGATTGAATTACAAGTCTGATAAGAGAGCCTGCTTGAGGGCCCCAAGGAGTCGGAAACAGCTGAGTCTTTGGAAAGAAAACAAAAGAAATCTCTATGAAGATCAAGGATTTTCCCAAAGGGGGGTATGAAGCAGGATTTTTCAAAAAGGGGGGGGGGGGCTTGAACTAAAGCAGCAAGAGTAAAATGACCGTGAGAGTTTAGAGGGCCCGGGAAATTTGGGATGCTGGCGCTCTGTAGTGCAATGTCAGGCAATATGACCCCATTTATTCTTCTCCCTCCCTCTTTTGTCTCCTCTTTTATTTATTCATTTTTTATTTTTCGGGTGAAAAAGGAGGGGTGTGCGCCCCACGTCCTCCCGGATCCGCCACTGTCCCCTATACAGAGTCTCAATAAACTTTGGATGTAGTGAATTTCGTGAGAAACAACGATTCAGTTTCGTGATTGGGGATAGAAAAGGGCACACCGCAGACGGGAAAGCGACCATTTCGTGAAGAGAAAAACGCACAGAATACACAATAAACCAGAAGGTTTGGGCGAGGAAGTTCTGCTTTCTCCACCTCAGCTTGAAAATTTATTTGACTTATCTCTAACTATGATTATTTTGGGGACCATTGTTAAATTTTCAGTGATGACAACCTTAAAAGTTGTCCTTTGATTTTCAGAACGAGTCTACAAGAATTCTTTAACTTTTGGTGTATTTCTGTGCTTCCCTCAATGCAAATTGTCCTTTCGACATGCTCTAGTCATTTCCCGAGGAGAAAAATAAATCACAAAACAAAATTAATACAGATTCAGAAGAATCTTGCCATGAGATGCAGGGAACTGCTACAGGGAGTACCTTTGCTAAGCAGTCTCGCACAAACGAACAACGATCAATCTATGTCAATCGCCTTCGATTCGGTCATTATCGGCGCCCCTTCTCTATAGACCTCAGTTTATGTGTGCATGCGCACATGCTGGTATGGCACGTGGTAGGAGGCAAACAGTTTTAGCGGCCCGTTGAAAATGTACAGGGGTACAAATTCCAACGTCATCTTCTCCACTTGTTTTCACTTTTGTCGTCGGAAAAGCCTGCTGCAGTCAACTTGTTTTAATACAAGCCTCAAAGATGCACCTTCGTGTAGCAGACAGTTGTTTTCAAGTGTTGTTTCGCTGTTTCAAAGGGTATTATACTGCCTTTGTGGTTTTTATGCCGATTAGATTTTCCATATTCATGAGTAAACCTGTGACGTAATCACAGAAAGAAAGCCTCAATGTTATATTGGTTTGTACACCACATTTTCGCTTCTTTGCTGACTTATTAGTGTCTGTATGCACAGCATATGCTAGCATCAATCCCCTTCTTAGTAATTTTGAATGACAAGTACAACCGCCTATCATCTACGTAGCATTGAATATTTGGGAGATGACGCTCAGCTATTTCAACCAGTTTGGAAGAGTGATAAAAAGTAACAGTCCCAAACAAGAACACCTGTGCAACACCGCAATTAACATGAAATTTGTTAGACATGGCCTCATGAAATATAACACAATGACCTCTCCCACTTAAATACGAACGAAACTAATCCAAAACAACACTAAAAATTCCAAACCAGTGTCATTGGCAAAGTCTATACATGATTCGGAGCAAAAGGGTCCTGGGTTTTAATACAAGGTTTCAGTAATATGTATGTGAAAAGCTTTCTAGAATTTGAGTTATTTTTCATTGATGAGTTTATTATACAAATCCTGAAGCCCTATTCATAAGATAATTTGTGTGGTTTCTCTGTCCACGAGAACTTATTAAATCTGTCATATCACCCGTCAGCCTCCATCTACTCTCTACTTTACATTGCAACATTTGGAAGATTCTATTTCGTCACTGAACCAGGGGACAAGTGGCCTAACATGAGCAAATTTGGATGGGGGGGCATGATGATCTGATGCTTCGTTACGAGTTTATTGCAATACTGAACCAGGTCATCCAGGGCATCAGGTAGATCTGGGCACAAGGATGTGCTGACTAGGTCATCCGTCAGTGAATTAAGTTGAATTAATTTTATTTTCATAAATTTAAATTATTCTAGATGGGGAGCAGGCTTACCATATTTAGGTTTAAATATGACAGAGAAATGATCAGAAAACCAATAATCGTTAAATGGTTAATCGTGTAATATTTCATCAGCTGATAAAATATCAAGTAATATTTCATCAGCTTCTCTGGTAGTGTCTTGGTCTGCACATACAGATTTTGCCCGCGTTAAGCTTAACATGTCTGCCATCTTATAATTGTCATTAGCCCAAGCGCCCTCTGTCGAGTCGCTATGTTTGCTGAACCGTACACCCCCAAAAAGGTTGAACTCGAGTTTCAAATATGGAATGAAAAACGTGGAAAATTCTTGTTTATAAAAACACATGTCCTGTTACACTGAACAAACACACAGATTAATCGCTACTATCTGCTCAAAATTGTGGCGTACAAAATTTGTTTCAATATTTTTTTTAATTTAGGATAACATTTACGATTACATTCAAAGACTACAATCGTTCCAACTTGTTTATTCTAAAAGTAGTACGGAGATTAATGAATTAGAAAACTCATAAATACCCCAGAAGATCAGTTGAGGAATCACTTCAAAATCGCACTGCTGAAGACTCTCGAAAGTGTGCAGCTCAATCCTCCAACCGACCATGAAGCTTCTTCTGCTGTGTCTGTGTGTTGCTCTGGCTCATGCTAGCCTGGCTCCTCTCCGTACGACCAACGAGCGCGCCGTACCAGACAGCTGGATCATCAAAGTCGAGGTAAGTTTCGACAACATCGATGCTTTTACCTTCTTGAATCGAAAAGCCTTTATATTCATTGTGTTTTGAGTTCTACAGTCAAGGTTTTCTTGTGTTTTAGAAGTGAAACATTCATATTTGTATTGTACAATTAATGCCCAAATAACTCCTCTTTATGTACACGTAGCCGTTATACTATTCCGATCAACGTAACAGATGTAACTCCAGAGTCAAGAGATATCGATGAACCGACGGATGGCATATTGGCCGAGAATCGACACGTCAGTTATAATTATATATGATGGAAACCATTTCAGATTATTTATTTCAAAAGTGCCATAATCAGGACTGACCATACAAATATTTCAAGAAATCAAGCATTTGGGACCAACTTGGGGTGGTTCGTTCACAACCCCCCCCATCTTGTGTTCAAATTTTGTATAGAGGGGGCGAATACATTAAGACCTTTGCCTATAGATGTACTACTCTCCTGATGGGCATGGGGGGGGGTTAACACTTTCCAGGAATTTCCAGGGAAACGAGTCGCTAATCCGTTCCAAAGCGTTACCATGCAGGGACATTACTATCCGATTTTGTGTTTTTAATGGGAATTGATTTGAGCGTGCAACCATGCAATTACTCTCATAAATTCCAGATATGCTGACCATACAAAGATTATGTACAAAATAAAAGTGCGGCAAGCCTTACGCTGGCCGAAATGCTGACGGTGCGAAGAGAGTCTAGCTGCGACAGTCGACGTTTGGCGGAACAAATGTCCATGACGACAGCCCCACCAATCAGATGGTGTAGATTTAATCAGGTGATAATGTGAAATTTTACACTGATGCGTATTTTAGGATTTTGACCAGCTTGAGCGCGTGCAAGAAGAGATCGAGAACATCTTCTCCACGTTCCGTGCACCTGCTCCCAAAATTACCAAGCTTGAAAAACTCATGCCGGTTCTGACCCTCAAGATTCCAGAGCACATCCTTACCCGGGTAAGTTACTCCCCTTGTTGTATCATATCAGGCGAGAAGCAGCTGTGAGCTGTCCGTTTTGTGTGAGCTAACAAAAATACTGGTACATGCTATGCAAAAACAAGTGATAAGTTTAACGCCTTCCTGGGAACACTTCATGAACGCAGTGCTGTCTCAGTAAGCTAAAGCTGAACACGTTTTGAGTTTGTTTTTTAACAAACACGTGTTGATGTGTTAAAACTATAGGCACGAAGACACATTTGAGTGTTAATAACAAAACACGTAAACAGGCTTATCGGGTAATAACACTTTTTGAACACCAAAACACGTTTATTTCCAAAAAGGTATTAATTTTATATGGTTACCTCTTGAGCCTAAGACGCTTTCATAATGGACGTTGGACTTAAAAGTGTGTATTTTGAAATTCTCTTGTGTCTGTGAGAAAAAAGTCAAATTCAAAAGTGTCTCTTTTGTGTGTTTTTTGGATGTGGTGAAAATTACTACTAGTTCTTTTTGAATTGCTAAAAGCCATCATTTTTTTCAGGTGCGTGCTATCGAGGGCGTTGAATACATACACGAGGACACCATCGCAACAATTTTCGGCTCACAAAATAACCCACCATCATGGGGTATTGATCGCATAGACAGTCGCAGTGGAATCGATGGTGTGTACCGCTACAACGACAATGGTAGGTTATTTTGGTATAATGAGATCATTACATTCATCAACTGCCAGCGAAATCTGTAAGCAAAGCATGAGTGGCACCAATGGCGGTCATTCATTAAAAAGGAACAAAATGAAATATAAACTATCGGTAACAACTTACGAAGAGTTAAATTAGAGAAGGAAAACTAGCTGTGATTGTAGTGTATCTTGTTATTTTTATTAAAACGTTCTGTTGAGCAAAGGTCTTCCAGTAATGTGCACGTGAACTGACATGGTTTAATGGCTTGCAAAGTTGCAATACATTTGTCCCACAGTAAACTGCAAATTTCTACCTCGTAGTTAAACGCCAATTCAAGGGTAGCTTTTGACCAATTGTATCTCATTTCTCATGTTTTCATTCCCCATAGCTTTGGAGTAAATCAGGTGAAGATATGGTTTTTTTCATTTCAATATTTTCTGATAACAAAAATTAATAGTAATAATAAGTAATGGTTAACACCCTTGCTAAGTTGAACCCGCATTTGTGCTACTTTTTTCATATTGCTTGAGTAGAGCAACTCGGTTGGGGGCTTTCTTTCATCAAATGTAAAATTCTAATTTTTGGGAAAGCTTCTCGACAAAAACTTTTTATTAAAGTGACATTTTTTCTCCGATAGCCCAGGGCAGAGGGGCGAAATTATTTGTTACAGACACTGGCATCAATACCAATCACCAGGCATTTGGTGGACGAGCTTCTCGTCTGTACGGAGGTGCTGATGATCAAGGACATGGAACTCACTGCGCTGGTACTGCTGGAGGAAACACCTACGGTATCGCACGTAAAGCTACCATCTACAGCTCCAAAGTGTGCAACAGTCAAGGACAATGCTCAACTTCCCTCATTTCAGCAGGTATGTTTGTCAATCACCTTATCCCAGAATTGGCTCATCAATGATAAATCAAGAATCTTGATTGTTCCACTTCAAGTTACTATGTCATTTCTGAATAGTTAAATGAAATAAATAGCTGCATTTGTTTTGATGTTGCTGGACAAAAACCTGGTGCGGTGATCAAATGACAATTCCTTGGTGAAAACGTTTAGCACTCCATCCACAGGAGATTCACCACCTTCCGTAATAGGCGTGAGAAAACAGGACGCTCAAAAGGGACTAACTTTATTGAAAAGTTGCCCCAATACATTCATATCTGGAGGGCTTTTGTGCGCCTCAAGCTTTCAGAATAACTGAAAGCATAAGTTCTCTTTTCTGCAACAACGAACAATACTCGTGTCAGTATCATGAATGGCACGCTGCTTTCCGTGAACAGCGATGTTGTTTACTTCCCAAGAGACAGTTCCCATTCATGTTTCCTTTTCCTCCTAAGGTTTGGATGCCATCCTCAACAAGTTTGGTTCCGGCAACGGCAAGGGCGTGGTATCAATGTCCCTGGGCGGAGGGTATAGTCACCTCTTCAACTATCTTATCCAGAACATGCTCAACAAGGGGTACACAGTTTCTGTTGCTGCGGGTAATTCCAACATAGACGCCTGCTATTCTTCACCTGCATCAGTACCAGGGGTGAGTTTTTGTGTCGTACGGTCCAGAAGTAATAAGTACCGAGGCCATTTTGTCGTTACTGTTCTCAACATTTAGCAGATTTGAGCGTATTAGTATTATGATTGGTGAAAATTGGTGATGCATGTTTTTCTGGTGAATTTACAAGTAGGCCTAACTGTTCTCAAGAGAAAGCATGATGACATGATGACGGGGGGGGGGGAGTTGGCAGGAATGAAACGCTTCATCGGTAAGTTATTTGAACTATTTAGCTGTATTGATAAAGCGACTAACCATGTAGTCGGAGTTACAGCGACTTTTAAAGATGATTATTCATTTATGTGACAAGGAAAGATAATTCGCATGACTAATGCCTTTTCCTTGATAGGCAATCACCGTTGGAGCCACAGATAGATACGACAGCCGTGCCTATTTCTCCAACTACGGTTCTTGCCTCGACCTCTTCGCACCCGGTGTGAACATCGTTAGTGCAAGCCGCTGGTCTGTCACTGGAAGTGCAACAATGTCAGGAACTTCAATGGCGTGCCCTCATGTGTCAGGTGAGGTTCGCTTGCATGCCAAAACATTGCTGCAAATTGCTTATTCGGTCAATTGGGCAGATTGGTAGTCCGTACGTCATGAACAGGTCTTCAGATAGTAGTATCTTGTTCAGGATTTTCAGAAAGTCCCATTTTTCTGATTTTAAAATGCTGCCATTGACATGATATAGATGAAAGAAAACACAACCGAATTTCAAACCGAAAAGCCAAAGTAGCTATTCAAACCGAGATGTTTTTGTAGACATTGCACAACTGTCTAGAATAATTTCCTGTTTTTTCAAAGCTTTCCAAACCAATTTTTCAGCAGCGTTTGAAGCATATTTCTAAATTCCTTTGCAGGTGCCGCTGCTGTTTATCTGGGATCACACCCAGGTTCATCCCCGAAGACTGTGCATGATGCCATCGTGAATAATGCAACTCCCAACGTAGTGTCTGACACTAAAGGATCCCCCAACAAGTTGCTTTATGTCCAGGTAAAGGTTAAGTTTGGTTTAAGAAAGTGATACCGGATATACGGCCATGTTCATCAGAAACGATTGAATTTAACATCAAGCTCGCCCATAACTTAAAACAGCAACTCTAAGGAAAACATGTTTTCTCTGATTTTTATCTGTTCAAATAAATTGGAAACATCAAAATCGAACTCACTGTCGTTGTTTTCAGAGCTCAACTATAACAAGCTAAAAAGGGCTTTTTTTCCTGTTCATGCCAAGATGCGAATTCTGAACATGCTGAATGTAGGTTACGTCATTCTGAGAAAACAGAGAAAACGAGGGTAACCCTCGCCCTGTGTTCATAGTGGATAAACCCTTGACCGTTGTTTGGCGTGCACAAGAGAATTATCCACTACGAACACAAGGTGAGGGGTCCCCTCGTTTTATATGTTTTCTCAGAATGACGCAATCTACATTCAGAATTCGCATCTTGGCATGAACAGAAAAAAGCCCCTTTTAGCTTGTTATAGTTGAGCTATGAAGATTTCTATTCTTCCCTATTTATTTGAACAGATAAATTCAGAAAAAATGTTCTCCTTAGAATTGCTCTTTAAGTACAAAAAGAATGCCCCACCCTTCATCATATGAGTGGCAAAAGAACCATTTGATATCTACAATTTAAAAGCCTTTCAAGAAATAAAATCATTCAAACATTAAAAAACGTGAAAGGGCCTTCAAACATTCGAGAGGCTAAAACAAATATACTTGTATCAGTTTGGACCATAGACGTTTTCCAGAATGTATTGACAACCTTCCATTACTATGGGATATGAGACATTAAAGAAAAAACAGAAAAGAATTAATTTGATAAATGCATAAGATCAGATTAAAAAATAAAAGTATATCCTGTTTAAACGGTTACTCAAAAGTTAGGGACAGACTCGAAGGAGTAAAAAAAAACACGGACACTTGCATCTCCCTAACTCAACATTAGATTGCCCGATTTTGAAAACAGACTGTAGAAACTGAATTCAGTAACAGAAATATCTTCTATACCTTTATATACCAAGTGCAGTGGATTTGAGGGGGGTCCACTGCAGCCAAGCCACAATGACCCCCCCACCACCACCACTATGAAAAAAACAAAGACATCAGAGCAAAAACAAAGACATCAAGCATCAGAGAGACCTGACACCCCTACCCAGGCTGTAGACGTTGATACTAGACAGGCCAGTCCGATGTACATGTACATTGTAAATAATCCCATTGAGGCACGTGCCAAGATGTTCGTGCACGTTTTAATGGGACTTGGCCAGGGGCTGGCTGGAATCTTTTTCCTTGCTCGGATAAGCCCTGACGTTAAAAGTGACCCAACCAGGTTGTTTGGCATGTACAGAGTTAGGATTAGATGGGAGGTGATTGCATTTGGTAGTAAGATTCTTTTAATTCAGAAATTAGCAACCGCAGACTCAGCAACTGAGACCTGGGAATCTACGCTGTAAACTGATAAGATCCAAATGCTGTGTGGAAGGCAAGAAAGAGTCACTACTTTATAACACACGCGACCGTCCCCTCACTAAACTGGGACACTCGACCTGTCTTCGATTTGACACATTAAATGTTTCCTTACTTTTATTCGCAGCCCTAAGTATCTTCGCACCATGGATGCCGGACACCAGAATCACATGACAAGATTTGAATGGTTTGCAATGCAAAAAGATGGATGGAAACAATGAATTAAGACGGCCCAATAACAAAAATTCTGGACTTTGAAAACAAATTTAAACACCGAATCCTCCACAACAAATGATAATGCCTCATTTTACAACTGTTGCGAATTGTATGGGTTAAATTGGTAATCTTTCTAAATGTGTAAAGCCCTGTTCATTCACTCATACAGAGGAAGTGTTCCTGTAATGTACACGCTTAACTCATCGCTGGCCGCTTGAACCCTAGTTAATAAGATGCATGTATCTTTAAGAGTTGGTTTATGAAACGCTTTCAGATCGAACCAACGTTGCAAAGAACAATTGCCTTGTGTACTCTCAAAGAATTCTTTGACCACCGGTAGGAACTTCAGAAAGACCAATCAGAAAGATCTCAGTTCTCCCAACATTTACTGAGAACCCTGTATTATGACTTCAAACTGAAAGAAAAATTATATAAATCACAAGCCTTCGGCGAATGAAATAAAAGAAACCTGCAATTACTTTATGTCTCCCTCTATTTCTTTGAGTGGTTGTTTGAATATGTGTTTTAGCTTATGTTAATTGTTCAACTGAAAGAAAAAGATGTAACTCCATCCTTGAATAGATATTTAGCAGATCCATTGTACTCCCCGTTAGCGGCCCAACGTTTTCGATGCAATACCTCGTACGAATCTGATATTTGGGTTACGGCTTCGATTACTGGCATTTAAAAATAAGTCACCATGGTAAGCGGTGGTAAGCATGCTAACTGCATAGAAAATTTTGAACTTGTCCCCAAGTGCGTTCCAACAAGAGTTAACGTCATACAATTTCATCATAATGCAGAGTGAATCTCTACTGGTGCGTGTACACGACTACAAGTACCTGTCAGTTGCATTGTTTGGGCTACAGTGTCCTTGATCCTTAAGCCACACAAGCTGGAACTTGAAGTACTTCTCGAGTCTTTCATGCAGCTCTTTATACCTTCTTTCAATCTGGAAATATATACAAGTACAAGATCAATGGCAATCTGGTAAACAAAACCTAATCATGTGATTCATATTTATAATATAACGACTAGTGAATCACCTAAAGTGGCTTTCAATGCCACCAGCTTCCTTTCATTACTTTTGTTTTTTCGGAGCCACAGTGGATTGGGGACCCTTCTTTTTAATTCATTTTCGGTCCTCGAAAAAAGACTGGAACAATTTAAAAATAGGAACTTTGTACGTCTTCATTGACGCAGAACAATTCTCTATAGAGTACTGAAGTGTGACGTCAGCATTTAATCAATGCAAATTATCCTTTTGGCATGCTATAAATATATCACAAACCAAAATTAATACAGATTCACAAGAATCTTGCCACGAGATGCAGGGAACTGCTACAGGGAGTACTTTTCGTATTTGAAGCAGCTTCGCTCAAATGAACAACGATGAACCAACGTCCCTCGCCTTTGATTGGGTCATTGTCGGCACCTGTTCTCTAGAGATCTCAGTTCACTTATAAATTCTAATTTATGTGGCATGCGCATATAAGACATTTGGGGGCCAAAAGCTAGAGCAGCGCGTTGAAAATATACTGGTACAAATTCCAATGTCATTTTCTCTCTGCTTCTGCGCACTGATTTTTTCTTCACTTTTGGGTTTAAAAAATCCTGATGCAATAAACTTGTTTTAATTCAAACCTTCAAAATGAGCCTTCGTGTATTTGATTGATAGTATTGTTTTCAAGCATTGTTTCACTATTTCAAAGGGTATAAGCGGCATACTGCCTTTTGGGCTTTCATGCTGATTAAAATTTCCATATTCATGATTATACCTGTGATGCAATCGCAGGAAGAGAGCCTCAGTGTTATATTGGTTTTTACACCAAACATCCTGCCTGGCCGAGGCTTTAGTTGCATTTGGTTTCCAGTCCATACTCGCCTTCGAAGGTTTTCTCCGGGTACTCCGTTTTTCTCCTGCCTCTAAAAGTGGACCTTCTTCCTGACTCCGTAATTTGATGCTGACTTATAAAGGTTACGAATAAACGTATAGTTATTGACGCAAATAGCCTGGGTAGCTGAAATTGCCATTAAAATAAAACAACAACATCCTTCGCTTCTTTGCTGATTCATTAGTGTCTATGTGCATAGTGTGGCGGGCATCCCCGGGCCTACCCTAAGTTGATGGGATCAAACCAAGCACTATTAGTGGCAGAGTCGATCTTCCCAACCCAAGGCTTTTCCCCAGACGAGAGACCACACAGAGCGACCTCAAGGCAAAG